TTCACAAATAGTCATGTATTTACACAATTAAAGCTGGAACTTACGCAGAATTTGAAGAGAAGTTTTAGCTTTGCTTAGCGATTACCACGAAATACAAGGTGGGAATGTTATATTGCTCAAAAATTACGACTGCTATTTTGCTTCTACTACACCTGTTTCAAAATTAGAGATGATGACTCATTTATTAATTTACCTTAGAAAATAGTTTCGAAAGAATGAGCCAACACAAAGTAATTTTGTACTGCCAGTTTACTTGATGGACTAATGATGGCGTTTACAGCAAGGATATAATTCAAATGTGGGAATATGAACATGAGCCTTCTTAACATGGAGATGCACAAAGCAGCGACTGAAGACCAGGATGTCTTTCTCTTCCATGTATTTGGCAGAAAGGGGAGGTTCCATGAGGATCTCGTGGGAAAGAGGGGAGATGTTGCATGGTGGATATGACTTTCCCTGTTGGGATACTTCCTGATCTCACTAAGGAAAACTTGGTTCTTTCTGACATTTGCTAAACTGCTTTCAGTGTGCAAACACTGCTCACGCTAATTATACTGTCCTATCTGTTCGTAGCCCAGGCAATGGTCAGGGTTACAACTGACTGCAGCACATCCCGAATACCTGGGGGAATCAAGTCTATACCTCCAGGATGGTATTAGAGTCTCTCAGCTTCTTCATTAAATGGAGGCCCAGTCACTTTCCATCCAGCATCACCCACCTCCTTCTGCCTGAACCTGCTCTCACATTAAACAACAGCTGGTTCAATTCCAGAAATTGCTGGAGAAACTCAGCAGATCTGGCAGCATCTGTAGAGAGAAAGCAGAGTTTACATTTCAAGTCCGGTGATCTTTCTTCAGAACTTTCAATGCACCTGATGGCAGACAGCAAGAGCTGGTGTGTTTCCTGGCCGGTCATCCTGCAGAAAACAATGGCAACTAGTGCAGTACTCTGCATATAAATGTAAATGATCCATTAGAAGTCCATGGCCCAAACATCAGAAATGAAGATGACAGATAGAAAATATATCGTTCTGCAAATATTCTTCTTCCTTAATCAAAAAAATAAGACGTTTTTTAGATCTCATAAAGGCTCACTAGACTTGAAACATCAACTCTGTTTTACTCTCTGCTGATTCTACCATAACTACTGAGTTTCTCCAGCATTTTGTTTCTGTTTCAGAGTTCCAGCATCTGCAGTTCTTTACTATAATATAAAAAATATTAGCTATACTTGATTAAAAAGCCTTGCACTTTATATGCTTCATTAGAATATAGTTGATCTTAATTATCTACCATAATGATTGACCTGTCTTGATAGATGATGTTCATATTTAGACAATCAACATCCCCATCCCCAAATTCCTGTACAAGTCAATTATTCTTCTTTTCCCTACACACCATCTCCATTCTCTCCAGGAGCAGTTATTATTCTGCCAGAAAAATCAGTAAGCACTGAGACATCTAATCATTCAGCTAGTCTGCCAGCTCACATTTCTGATGCACCAGACAACAAAACATGACTGTAACAGTGAGGTGAGACATGGTATTTAGCTCTTTTGTTCTGACTTTGTTCAAATGAAATTGTCTCCCACAGTTTCCTCAGCTACGGAATGCCGGAAACAGCATACATTTATCTCTGGAAATCCCACTGACAGGCTCGACACTACAGATCTCATTGAAGATGTTGGCTTTCGATTCAACACAGAGACTGCTGGAAGTTTAACATATGGCTGTTAGATGACACCAGCACCAATGGCAATGACAGGATGATAGCTAACACACATTAAGAGAAGAGAACTAGGCAAGTATTGAAGAACGTTTGGGAATTGTACCACTGCAACATTTCAATGCCTCAGGCGCTGACGGAAAAATTGAAAATTGTTCAAAAAAGGAAGAAATAATCCTTTGCCAGCAACTGAAAAGCTGATGTTTCTACTTAGAATTATGAGCAAGTTGTTCCACATTCTTTATATTGAACCTTGAATTATGGATGGAAATAAGTTTCTATATTTAATTCTGCAGCATATTTTGAGACATGAGTCACAACAGTAATGTTGATGAGAAAGAATAGAATTCCAGTTTAAGATTTTTTTTAATATCAGTAAATTAAAGTTACATCCTCAAGTAAGTGAAGAACCTTCCTAACTAATTGTCCAACATGTAACCTACAAAGTCCTCGGGAAACCAACTAACATTCCTTAAAACAGTGAAATGTTTCTCCATGTTATAAGAGAAGGTGGGATGCCAAAGTGAAGTATGTGGTCCCATCAATCATTCCTTCATATGAATTGTCTAAATATAACTCAGTCCCAGTAAATAGGTGGTTTGCCAAGACATGTTATATTTGGATCAGCATTTTAATGTAATGAAAGTGAATGGAAAAGGTAAATGGAATTCTATGCTACAATTATAATTATGCTTGGATCAGATACATGTCTGTCAGCCTTGATTATATTGTTGATATTATTCCAATCAAGGAACTAGATTTGTTTCTGTTCACTGGAGTAATATGAAATTCAAAGTGGGAGCTGATGGTTTCCTCAAAAGAAAAAAACTACTCCCTTACTCTTGCCGGTGTATTAATACATTTTACAAATTGATTTATGATCTCAATAACACTATTCTGTGATGTCTTCCGAGTTTTATCTGATGTTCTGGGCCATTTTCTACAATATGCTGATTCTGCTATCTGATTCTTGTGGACATTCTTCAATTCAAGTCTATTTCTGACAATAGTTCATTCTGACAACTGAAATTCTTGGCCCCATTGTAACTTCCGTTATGTTCAAGCCCATTCTGTGAAGAACATGATCTGGACCTGTCCTGCTTTCAGCCATGCATTTTGTCTAAGAGTCCAACTGATCAATTCCCAAGATGGTAGAGTTCCCTTTTTCAAACTTGTGTCTCTCCCAAACTTTATAGGTTTTAAAGCAAACCTTAACTCCTCATTTCTTGGTTAGCACTGACTTCTCTCTTCTGAAATACTGGGGAAATGCAGTTCAATAGCACCAAAAAAAGGATGTGTTCCTTACATTTTGCATTTTTGGATAAAATTTACCATTTCTGTCTTGCAAATTATTGTTAAAGTGTAGTTTTTCACCCATTGGAATGATCAATAGTGAAATCTCCCAGTCCATGTAAATCCTGTCCTTGCCCACTACCCATATGATTGCTAGTAAGCTTTTGCTTATTCATTTGGGGGCTGTTGTTTAAGCAGGAAAAGGGGATGTTACATTATGTCACCAATTAACTGGCATTATCAGGAGCAAAAAAGGAAGTAGTAATACGTTCTCCTCCTGATGCAGGAGTTGCTGAGTCCAATGTAAGGCACACAACCCCACTTTGTCAATTTCCCTGTTAAGAACAGCCAACACAACAGAGACCAGGGATTGAAACTGAAACCATCCTAGTCCATCTGGTTCAGCTATTTATTCCTTTAATCAGCTCGCCAACAACAGTAGTCCTTATGGAGAAAGTTAACCAATCCTGTTGTTTTATTTAAATTTACGGAACAAGTGAACCAAAAACATAAACTTCTAATTAAAGACACACAACAGTAGCAAGAATTTTACTGCACTCTGTAGACTTCGGTCAGTAAGCTTTAACTGGCTAATGACCCCTGCATTTCTCAAATCTGTTCACTTTATTTTCAACAACTGTTACTTATTAACTTATCCCCAGTGATTTTCAGAGCAGCTCTGGACATTTCAACTCCAGTTGTACTGATACAAGAATGGTGTTTTTGTTCTCAAGTGATATGGTCGTGCAGAGAACTGCGCAGGTTTAAAACATTGATGTTCATCCATAATATAAAAAAATTCTATTGCTTTTAATGTTTGTTTCCTGTTTTCAGAGTTCCCACCTGTGTGTTCATTTGTTGCTGCTTTAGTATAGACAATAAAGTAAGATTCCTTTGATTAGCTTCAGTTCCTTTCCAATGCCAAATCATTTAGGTCCACGGTGTTTAATTGTAAGGTTTATAAGGTTATTGGCCCAAGTCTTCCAATCTGAACCAGAATCACCTTTTACAACCCTGATCAGACAATAGCTTACATACTTAACCCTTATTTTCTGAGACCATCTTCCTAAGGAAGGTGCTGCAGTGCTCACCAAGCTAGGAGTCCTTTCCGGCAGCAATCTTCATTGAAGCCATGCCCTCTTATTGCAGCACTAGCTGCTGCACTCCAGTATGTAAACAGTTCAAAGACCCGACGTCTCTCTGAGAAGCTACAGCAATAGGAAAGTGGATAAGAGAGTAGTGGGGTGAAGATGAGGGAGCAGGGCGGCAGGTAGGTGTGCTCTGGTGATGGAGTGTAGTCATGTGGGGTCAGGGGTGTCTGCCAGGTGGTTCGGGGTTATAGACAGGATGATGCAGGGGCTGGTGTGAGTTGAGGGTTAGTTCTGTGGGTTTGGGTCATAGTGGAATGATCAGGTGGGTGGTGGGGTGGTAGTAGTGGTATCAGAGGTGCATTGGGGTCATGAATTTGGTGGACGGTAGAGAGATGAGGAGATGGAGTTGGCAATCAGGGTTGGAATCGAGGGTTTGATGCATTCAGGGGAGTCAGTTGTATAGTTACCCAAGAGATACAAATGGCTTTTATCCATTTAGCATTTCCTAAATATCTGTCCAGGCAAGTGAGTTGGAAACCTCCAAGGTTTTTGATTCTAACTTAAAGCTGGAGACTTTATTGGATGTTTCAGACATAAACCCATTGGATGTTTAAACTTTCTGGGCAATTTCATTGGGTCTGGCAGCATCTGTGAAGAAAAATCAGAGTTAATGTTTCGGGTCTGGTAACCCTTTCTCAGAACACATGGATGGAAATATTTAGTTTCTGATGGTCCAGAAGCTAGATAATCCTGCCCATTAGGTTTAGAATTGTATCTTTTAATTTACTACACTTCTACATTTTCAGACTGTAGCATTAAATGTATAATAGATTAAAGTGGTCATTTGACCTGTGCTGGAGTCCAAATGATTTAATTATGAAAAGAGTCAAGGAAGATTCATTGCTTTATTGGGAAGGAAGTGTGAGGTATTTACAATTAGACACAATGGCAGCTGCTTCTGAGTCTGCAATGAGTAGACCCAAAGTCTACCATGTCGCATAAAAAAACATTACAAATATTAAATTCTGTAAATTATTCAGTTACTTCTAAGATGAAAGGAAGTTGGAATCAAGAATAGCTAATTAGAATTTTGACTTTAGATACATATCGAATATCTTCAATTGCCAGGGAGAAGAGGTTCAAGGAAGCCATTTTAAATCAGTTTACAGGATTTCATATAAGTCCATGAAAAATCACAAACATACAGCAGTTGCAGCTTTGTCTTGTGTAGTCTGCAGTTATCTGAGAGATAAAGCAAAAGATAGAAGCAGTCAAGACTGTATCTTAAGCAGAGAAAACACTGGTTGCTTACTTCACCAAGTGAAATGTTCACATATAGACTGAAAACCAAGTTTGTGAGGCATTGAACAAGGATGGAGGTAGAGGAATAAAACTACACTGTAATCCTTACAGTAAGAAATAGTTCTGGGATTAGAGATTATGCAGCTGGGAAGGGAAAAGAGATCAATTCAATGAAAACTGAACTGTTGATAAAGAACTGTAATTTTATGGAGAGTTTGATATATGATATGGCCCTGTTTATTTCTATTGTTTAAAGTATGAGTTGTCTACAGAGGTAAATATTGTTTAATCACAGTGCTTTTAGTCATTTGATAGTTTAAGAGTTTTCAAAGTTGAAATCCTGATGTTGTTCTTTGAGCCAATAACTGAAATTTGACTTTCTCTTTAACATTTATTGGTCTCAATAGAGATTGTAACAACAACTGGCTTCAGGAAGGGAAACCTTATACATTTTCTTTTACTTGTATCCTCTGATAAATATTTCCTCAATGTCTCCATGGATGAACACATCAGCGGCTAGAGTAGGTTTATTTAATCCCTCTATGGTGCCAGATTAGTTGATCAATCTGGTAGTGGGAGCATTGCTTTTCAGTTTAATGTCCCCCAAAATGGGAGAGGGAGGGTGAGAAATCAGCTGAGAATCCCATTTCTCACCGTAGTTCAGTCATCCATAATAGTGGAAAATGCATTTATTGGCACTGGGTAATATCAGATTCTGACTTGGCAGTGATGTTCCCACAAGACAAATATCCTGTCATCATGTGCAATTAAGTTTCACATATAAAGAGGTACAAGAATCTTGACAGGATCCATGGAAGTTCTCCAGCATTTATCTAGAATGTTGGTGTGGGAAGGAAAGGAGACCAGAAATAGAAAAAAATTGGAATGTGCAGTTCCCAACCTCGGAAGTTAATCAGGAGTTTTTAATTGTTTAACATTTCAGTAATTGATGAATAGATTACATTATTCAACAGATAATTGGTTCAGACATGATTAACAGCTCTAGATCGGCATCTGGGAGCATTGAGAATATCAAATACTATTGTGTAATGGTGACATTCACTATCTGGACCTGTAGATGAGGTTATCTAAAAAGATATTTCTACCTGACCTGCTTCTCCTGGGATTTAACGAAACTGTATAATAATGACTTATTTCAGCTCTGTTAAGTTGTATGTGAGGATGTTATCATGCTGGCCGTACCTTTTTGGTATAGAGCATGGAGCTGACTGATTTATGCGACTCTCAGATTCTTAAAAAAAATTACTACACAGAATCATAACCTCAGAGTTACAATATCTCTTTACAAGTTTGTGGTAACATCAGATACATGTAAGTGAACAGAAAAAGAAACTAAAACATTTGAAGGTGCACTTAAATGCTCCCTCCTGTTAATGAAGATTTATGTACTAAGGTTCCCTGGAAACATTTTTATTTCTGATTGTTTTGTCACAAAAGAATTTCATTGTTTTATGTGTTTAGTCCAAGTTTCATATGCTGATGCAGAAAGTGCCAAAAATGAAACAGGCTAAAGAACATGGAAAATATCCAAAATAATTTACATCCTATTAATTGAGTAGAACATCATATATTTTATCCACTATCCAGCAAATCAAACATACTAAGATTTCATTGCAATATTGATGCAATGTCAAAGACAGGTCATTCCGTCTCAGATAAACAAGTAAATCTGCTCCTGATTACTTCTTACCTATATATTGTCCTTTGCCTTCCCTGAAAGGAGGTCCAACTGGGCCTTTAACCATTGGATACATGTATTTTGAACGGGCATAGCCCCCACTCAAGACGTAACCAATGATGGTCATCAAGAAAAGGATGAAGATATTCGTTTGCACCATTGTCCTTCTTTGTGGGATCTGTCTGAAAAGTTGAACAGAAACAGTTAAGAACAAAACTAGACTGGGAACTTGAACACCACACATCTTTATACTGACACCATCAATCTAGGTTTGGAATTGATCCAGCATGATTTTCAAACTCAGCTGAAAGCAATTGTTTCCAGGTAATGTCAAAATTCTTTAAAGTATTCTCACTGCTTCAGTGTGTTACTTTGTACTTATTTGAAAGAAGACAAATTACAAATGGCTGCTCTCCTGTTCATCATCTGTGTGTTAAAAGCACTAATTTGAACTTCAATGTACAGGATACATGGCACGTCTGTGAGTCTGCGGCTGGTGCTGACATGTTACAGTGGCACTGGCAAAGGTACAGTTTAAGGGCTCTACAGCACAATCTTGCGGCCTCAGCACACAGACCCTGGCTATTGATGACCTCCTGTGTATTAGTGCCAACAGTAATTACTGAAACCAACCTAAGACTTCAGTCAAACATACCCTTTTGTCACTTCCCTATGCATATGTTGTTTTAATCCTAATTTCTCTTGTTTTTCACCACCTTGCTACTCTGATTTATGCTTTACAGGAAAAATAAATCTCCATTTATTTTTTAAAAAGTACTAAAAATAATTAGTAGAAAATTGCTTTTCAAACATGCAGTTATGTCTGACTTATGCATGTTGTATTTACGTGCCGTTACTGTGCGTAATTTTAGGAATAAGTTGTTAAGCTTTGGATGGTCCAAAGTCAGATCCTAATAACCAAAACAGTCTCTGATATAAATGGTCCTTTGATCTGTCTTTTCAGAGAATCACTTGACTGTCTGGCATTACAACATCTAACAGTTTCCTGGATAATTCCAGTGGCCTAACTCCAAACACATTTCTTAACAACCTGTTCCAGCTATAGATCAGTTTCTACATAAAGATGCATTGCTCAGATCTGTCCTAACCTTGCTTTTCACAAGTCAGACTTAAGATTTTTCCAGTTTGGAATTCTATTTTTTGTTCCATCAAGTATATAGATCAATCAACTACTGTAATTTGAATTACCTCCAATGTCCAGTTCTGGAAAGCTAAGTGCTACAAAGTTCTCACAAGTAAATACCAATGTGGCTTCAGGCTGAATTCAGCAGTGGGCTGTAATACTAAGTGCATATAATTACAAGTTGAAACACCATCCAGGAGGCCGAATTGCAAATGTGGATGCACTGAGCCACTAACAGATACACCACACCAGTGGTACTGCCACTGGATGCGTCCACAATGGTTTCAAATCTTTTGGACACACTTCCAGTCACAGCTGACAATATCAGAATTTGGATGCAGAAAGATCCAGTTCTGGCAAAACTGAAACAGCTGGTGGTGATGGGGGAAACCAAAGGCTGTCACAACCAGAATTGAAACCTTTTTGGAAGGACCAGATCACAGTGGAGGATGACATATTATTATGGGGAGCAAGAATGAGTATCCTGAGCAAAGGTCGCTGCCAGATACTGGCAGGTCATTCAGGGGTTTCCAAAGTGATGATGTTGGCAAGAAGTTACGTCTGGTGGCCAGGACTGGATGCAGACACAGCTGCATTGGTGGGGCAGTGCCCAGAAGCCAACAAGGACAAAAATTACTGCTGGTTGCTCCTCCATATTCATGGGAATGGCTGGGTAAACCTTGGACTTGATTACACATTGACTATGCAGGTCCTTTCAAGGGTTCAAACCTTTTAGTCATTGTAGACACCCACTCAAATTGGCTGGTCATGCATAGAGTTCATTCATCAAACATGCGGGCAACGAAAGGAAAACTGCGTGCATCTTTTACAATACAAGGAATCCCAGAAGTGTTTGTAACAGACAATGGACTATCATTTATCTCCAGGGAGTTTGAATATTTCCAAGAGTATTCGTCATATAAGGACAGCTCCATCATCCAATGATTCGGCAGAAAGAGCAGTCCAAACTTTGAAGACAGGCTTTAGGAACTGCCGACAGCTTCATTGGATACCAAACTGTCCCAGTTCCTATTTGATTATAGGATCATCCCTCATGCTCCAGCAGTGTTGCTAATGGGGAGAAGACTCCTCACCAGGTTAAATCTGATCTTACTGAACCTGGCGGGGAGGGTGAAACAGCATCAGGAGCTCCAATGCCAGACACAAGACTGTGCTAAGTGAGAGAAAGAGTTTATTTCAGGGAACAAAGTTTGGTGTAGGAACCATGGGAATGGCCCTGTATGGGTAAGAGGCACTGTTGACACAGGGTCAGGTCCGGTGTTGTATAAAGTTCAGGTTGATGCAAGGTTCCTGAGCAAGCATATGGTCTATATGAAATTTGCAAACTCACAAATGGTGTGGGAGAAAAATGTATCCAGTTCCTTGACTACCTTTCTGACCTTTCTGGACTCCGTGGGTTCTCTTTCTCCATCAAGCATTGAAGATACCCTAGAACCTGAGATGGACACAGCAGATGTCCACAGCTCAATGCCATTGCTATCTGAAGGAAAGAATGAATTTCTTCCAAGATGCTCCAGGCACAAGAGAAGAAAAACAGCCTACGTCCTTGGACTCAGAGGGGGAGGGGTGTAGTGATTGTAACAAGGTCAGCTCAGACAGACTTTATAGAATATGAGTTCGTTGACTGGGGCTGTTAACATGGTCCAATCAGGGAGCCCTGGCTGACAGATATAAACAGAAGTGCCAGAGGTTCTGTTCACTCAGAGAGCTTGCTCTGAGGAACCTGGATCAGTGTCAAGGACTCTCCTCATGTAAATCAAGGGTGACTCGCTGACAGGATACCGGCTTTTGTGGAATTATTTCAGTTATGATGCACACTTCCAATGGTCCGTCTATATTGCTTCTTAAGGTTCAGAATGCATTAGTAGCCTATCCTCTGTGACAATTTCATGTGCCTGAGAGAATAATGATACATTGAGTGAAGTTAATGGCAAAATCATTACTACAGTTGCATAAGAGGCTATGTTGTATATTAACAAGTAATATACCATGTGGTCACTGTAAGTCTTAAACCATCTAAGTCTATGTAAATGTATAATTTTTAGTTGAATTCAAAATATATTTAAGTAGACAAACAGAAATAGCTGCAGAAATTCAACAGTTCTGGCGGCATCCGTGGAAAGAAAGCAGAGTCGATGTGTTTGGTCCAGTGACTACTTCAGACCTGATTGTAGCTAGGGATAAGGTGGGTAGATATGCTGAAGATGGGGTTAGGTTGGGGAGAAAGCAAAAGATAGGCCGAGATGGAGCCCAAAGAAACAAAGGAATTCTTTTCTTTCTCCCCGGCTCACCATGATCCAATCCTTTATCTGCCCGACTGCTGTTCTCTTTCTCTGGGCTGCATCTCCATCTATCATTTACTCCTCTCCCACGCCTGTCTTCATACCAACTTTTTCCTAGCTACATTTCTGTTATAAACAAGGGTCACTGGACTCAACACATTGACTCTGCTTTCTCTCCACAGGTGCTGCCAGACCTGCTGAGTTTCTACAGTTATTTCTGCTTTTGTCTCAGATTTCCAGCATTCGCAGTATTTTTAAAATTAAATGCTGTCATAAAAATGCTCCGAGTGCATGTTGCGATGAAATCTCTCAAAATGAAAACTGAATATTCTCATTGACATATAATCAGACTTATTTTTATTATTGTTGGAAAATTGAGAAGTAAATCTTCAACACCAGACAGAATGCTGCGCTGATCCGACCCTAAGATGATGAAAGTTAAGTTTCCTAATAAATGTATGCATCAGAGTTGAAGTTGGTACAATTTGTCTTCATTTATGTAATATTTTGACATTCTAGTCAACATAACTCTTTTTAACATCTGTAAGATAACATTTATTTGAAGGCAAAGGACACAAGTTGTGAATTTATCCATTAAACATATCTCTCAACATGACACAATCATAATCACTTTGAAATTACTTTTGGCATTTTACAACAATATTTCCTGCTAACCACTGACAATATGATTGTTATGGCTGGAGCAAGTACACCACAGTACAATTAACACATGGTGACTGTTAATGGACAAAAATATATTTAAATTCCTACTGAAGGAATAGATTTTAAAGAATACAGATCAGTTAGATTCAAGCTGCGTCTTTTGAGACTGTTCCATAATTCGCTTTTGAAGATTGAAGGGTAGTTTCTCTACTTGGAGGGAAGAAATACAGCTTCTGAAATTTCACTATGGGACACTCTATGTACTCTATAATCCCAATGTAATATTAGGGTCCACATAAGACAGTTGTTCAAAGGCACCATGAGATATCGTAGGACACTCAGAAAAATGTAAACTTTTATGGTTTAATTTCTCTCATGGCACACTCTGTTTTTACGTCAGGTAAAATTCCTTTGAAGAATAACACAGCCATTGACCCATTTAAAATAAATGGCTTAATAACTGTTTTAAAGCATTTAATTTTAGATTAACTGTTTAGGAAGAAGAGAGTTCAAACTTTTCCACAACATTTTTATTTATGCTTTATTTATGGTTTTCTTAATATTCCCCACACCCAGCTTATTACCAAAGCTTCAGGACAACTCAGTGGATAGCTGTTATTTCCAAAAGAGATTATTTTCCACAAACCACTCTCTGAGTTGTAACACATGCAATTTTAGAAGGAAATTGTTTCATTTATGATTTTCTTGCTCCATAACTGCCATGTTCCCTCTATAATTACAAGCTTCTTTGTTCAATACTTCCTACTCAATGAAGCATTAATGTGGTTTTACCAATAATCAGTGTAATTACACCCTCAATATATCTCCTTTCGAGATTGTTTGTGGCTTAATGGCTTTGTGTGAAATGAGGATGTCACAACAACAATGTGGCTGGAGTGCAAAGAAACAAAATGTACCTGTTAATAATTACAAAACTAAATAGTGTCTATAATACATTTAGGTTTTCTTCCATATTTAGATCTAATCTATCATGGTTTTTACTCAACCATCAATGTACTTAGCATTTAAACAGATGTTGGGGTGGCATTCAGTAAAATGAACAGTGCTTGAA